CACACACACACACACACACACACACACACACTCGCGTACTCACAGCTTTAGTGAAAAGTCCCAGCTGTCCCACTAAAAGCCTGAAACCTCCCACACACACACACACACACACACACACACACACACTCGTTTTCATATCTTAGTGAAAACATCTCATTGACATAATGCTTTCCCTATAGCTGCTAACCCTAACCATCAAAAATGAATGCCTAACCCTCAGCCTAAACCTAACCATAACCTAATTGTATCACTGACACTAAAACCACACTTTGAGCCTCAAAATGCCTTCAAACTTGTGGGCATGGGCATTTTGTTTCCATAAGTAACTGTTGGTCCCCACAGTTATAGTGCCATGCCAGTCTTCTGTCCTCACAAAGATCTTTAAACATGTACACACACCAAAAGGCAAGGAAATAAACAAAGGGACTTTTACTGCCCAATGGAAACCATTGTAGACTCACTGGTAATCCGTGTTGCATCACAAAAAGTCATTGTCTGTGTTCTTTACATTAGATAATTAATACATTAGCAATTTAGATTATCATACAAAGACAAAGTAATTCGTTTCTACCTTTATTTACGTTTTAGTCACTCGTAACAAGACATTTCCTCTTTCTTGTCTCTTTTGGGACGTATTAGCACCACTTATGATCGTCTCCCACACCCTTTAAAAACAGTTGTTTAAGTGGTTCATATGCACAGCTATCAATGATGAATTTTAATATGCTGTGAGATTAATCCCAAGCAGTCGTTTTCTGGCATAACCATTAGCATTAACCCCCTCCCCACCCTCCGACTCCCCTCCTACGCCTGTTGATGGATAATAGTGCTATTCCGTTAGGAGCAGTATCTCCATGAGGCATGTTCCACGGAGAGACGTGGGAGGTCACAACTGATGCAACAATCCCTTTCCGTGCTTCCTGCCCAATAACATTGCAGAAAAAAAGACTAAATCATTAAGAACACAAAGAAAAGTGTGCATATACAGTACATTAAACATTTGTGATGGCTGGTCTTTTCACTTCTCTTTATATACTTCAGGTTTTTCCATCAGAATCCTGCTGTGCCAAAAAGTAAACTTCAGTTTATGCAGCACACCCAAAAAAACTGAAGACACAAAACTCATCCAAAAAATACAATTTAATTTGAAACTCTGCTGTATTTTCTTCCTGTTTTGTTTTGTTAAACAGTTTCCCTGTGTGTCATGGTTTTTGTTTTGTTTTTTTGCTTCTTTACCTTAGCTGCCTGTCTTACTTGACTTTTGACTCTGAACTGTGTAAATGTTAAAATGTCAAGTGTTTTTTTTTCTAGCAAGTCATGATGTTAACTAAAAGAATTACAAAAAACTGGTGCGTACATTTTTACAGGTACATAAGTAACTAGGTTGACAGATGACAAGTGTCTTGGTCAGAAGTGCTCTATTCCATCATTAAACCATTAGAAATGAAATCACTGAAACTCATAATACGCAGTCCATCATTAGGGCAAGAAAAACCCCACAAAAGCCCACTAAAATGGGTGAGAGGATATTTTTTTGAATGCAAATAAACCTTCCTTCACAAATCAGCTAAGACTGCTTCAAAGCAGGTGCTGGAGTGTAGATGACCTATAGGTGCCTATAAGGCCAGTTAAGAGACCTGGGTTTGATTGTGTCCTGGACCATTTCCTGCATTTTGTTCCCTTTCACTGTTCTGTCCAGCAATAAAGACTAAACTGTCCAAAAACATATCTTAGAGAGAAACTCTTAAGTAAGTAGAGCCAAACTCAACGTCTTCAATGTAAATACAGATGATTGACCTCAAGAAGAAAACCACTGAAGGGCACTCAAAATCAGAAAGGCCACATTAAACTTTGTTAGAAAGGACAACTCCATGGAGAGATGAAAGGTTTGGAGATGGAAAGGAAGGCCTCATGATCTCAAGCACACAGGATCATCTGTCAAATATGCTGGAGATATTTTTTATGCAGGTAAGGGCATGGCTGGCAATAGAAAGGAAAAAGGAAAATGCATAATGTTTAATTTCATATGTGTTTATGCGTGGGTGGGTATGACATGGCATTATGTGGTGTCGCTGCACATGATTATTCATGTTTATTTCTGTGCCGTTTCTCCATATACTCAGCTTATTGCATGTGTGAATATATGTGTGCGTCTCCCCTCTTTGTGTGTTTCTGTATGCGTGAATGTTAGAAATGATTAATGAGTCTGGAAGAGTGCCTGTGGGCTGAGATCAGGTGCAACAAGATTTAACTTAGCAGAAAAAGCTCAGTTGTATTCGTACCCATTCAATTAACCTGTCCCTGTGCACTCTCAGGCTTCCTCTGCAGAGCCATTCATCTCTACGTTTTACACATCACTCTCCTGCGCCTGTCAAGAGCTCCCATTTAAACGCCGTCTTTTATTTGTAGCCCTTTTGTGTTTGCAGTGTAAGACTCGCACGCAACACTCACAATCAGCCTTTTTAGTCTCATCTGGTTAAGAATATGCAATAGAAGTACCTATGCTGTATCATCTAGAGTTAAATAAATGTTGAATGCCATCTGTGTTATTTAGCTATTGATTCTATGCTACCATGAAAGCACAGTTGCATTTTCTTTTATTATGCCCCTATGAGTGCAGACTTACCTAAAGAGCCACCTGCTGTAAGCTGAGAATTACTTAACAATTCATCCGTGAACTGTTTGTTACTCTTTCATGAATTTAAACTAGACATATCTGCTTGTGTGGCGCTCTTTCCATTGTTATAGTAAGAAAAAAAAATGCACCCACCAGACACTTTATTAGGTACACCTGTTTAACACAAATATCTAATCAGTGAAGCACATGGCAGAAACCCTAATAAGACTTTGGTACTGTCCCTTTATGACCATAATGTACCCATCTTCTAATGGCTGCTTCCAGCTCAATAATGAACATAACGATGAGTTCACTGTACTCAAATCAGGTCCAGACTCACCAGATCGCATTCCAATAGAGAACCTTTGAGATATGATAGAATAGGCGATTCACATCTTCAAGGTGTAGCTGGTAAATCTGCAGCGTCTGTGTGATTCTATCATGTTAATAAGGTGTCAAAAGTGCAATGATTAATGTTTTATGTTTGCTACTATTGTAGCTTATTTTCTTCCAATTCAACCCCCAAACTCTGTTATGCTGTGTTTTTCACTTTCTGCATTAGTCACATGCAATTTTCTAAACAGATTTGGTTGCTGCATAATCATGATTGTTGTCATGATGTCATGATCATTATAGATTTTCTAAACTATGTTAGGTTTGGTTTATTTACCTCACCAGGCATGTGCATAGCTTAATATCTGAATGCTGTTGATTCACATTGTTTTATCTTGTAATGAGCTATGAGTCACTTTACGTTTGCTACTTTTTGCAGGTTGGAGCTTCAGCATGGGTTCAGCATACCAGTTTCACAGTTGGAGGGTGTTTGTCGTCGTCTGCGCCCTACCCTGTGTGTGCGCTGTGGTGGCACTTACCTTTATGCCTGAAAGTCCCAGGTTTTACCTCGAGGTAACGAGACCTTCTGATTTTTAGCAGACTAAACCTATTTTAGTCTGCGCCTCCTGAATGTGCTGCATCAGTTCGTATCCCAGAGAATGCCTTGTCATGGTGCTGTGTTGTCCTCAACTGTCATCAGTTTTACATTCAGCATCTTTCAGACAAATTGAGATTACTTGGACATTTCCCAGCAGATGTTTAATCAGACAAAAACAGTGTGAGTCATTCAGTGCTGTTGGAGGCCTGTGTATGTGGAAAATAGAAGCTCAGAGATCTGTGACAGTAGGTTTGCCGCTCCAGCATAATTATCCTTTGAAGTGAAATGAGTCACCATTGTCGTGACTGTCATCATTTTGCCCTATCTTGGAGAAATCAAAGGCTTGTATTTATGCACCTGAGCAGCCTGCTGCTGCTGATCCCATGAGTTTATCTTGTCGTCTCTCTTCCTTACTTTCCTTGCTTGACAGGTGGGGAAGCATGATGAAGCCTGGATGATCCTTAAACAGATTCACGACACCAACATGAGAGCGCGTGGGCAACCTGAGAAAGTCTTCACTGTGAGTGTTTGTTTCTGCAGTGCTGGGTTTCCTGACGCTTAAGGAAGTAAAGAGGCTTATATTCTGCCACCACTGGGACAGATTTTAACGCTTTCACCGTGCAGGATCACATCTGAATTATGATGGTTCTGAAAGCTGTTTTGTGTCATTCAGGCTTATTTGCAGCATGAGCTCCACTTTGGGAAAGCCGCTTAGTCAACATGTTTCCTGAATTGATCCTATGCTATTGAACACATCGTTTATATTCACCCTTTTTATACTGGTTTGATTTTTTTTTTCCATAATTCTGTTCATTAAATTTTTAAAGATAAACAAACAAGCAAAATGCAAAAACCAAACAGAATGAATCCAATGCATGCACTTTAGGTCCAGAAATGTGTCAGTTTCCCATGTCAAAGTTCCAGTCAGCTCTCCCTTCCATTCATGCAACGTACAAATTTACAATTAGAGAGTTCCACATGGAAATAGAACGAGGATCATCTCCGACCCCCTTCACCATTATGGCTTTCCTCACTAGCATTAAAAGAGACTCAATCACAGCCTCTTTTAAGAGAGGTGGGAATCTTCTCAAGCAGACAGAGTAGCAGGTTTGTTGAAATCTGCTGACCTGTTGCTGTACTGTCACAGCTGTTCAGAAGCTGATTTGATTTTTAATGCTGTGTAGGTGTAATTTTATTCTAGAAATAAATGAAAGGCTATGATATTGCACAACAATGTCAGTAATTCAATGTCAACTTATTGTAAAGTAATACAGATGTTATTCTTATACTGTTTTCCAATATTTCAGGTAAACAGGATCAAAACTCCACGGCAGCTGGATGAATTTGTTGAAATGGAATCAGAATCTGGCAACCCAGTTTCTAAGGCTTTCTTCAGGATAAAGGCTGAAGTTCGTGGGGTAAATATTTGTCTTTTTATTTGATTATAGTTAATTTTTAACTATAATTAATTTTATTGTAAATTCCTGCTTTTATAAATAACTTAAACCTTCCTAAATTCACTAATGCTAATTTCAGCTGCTAAGCAAATGTGTAAACCGGAAAACTATAGAGCCACCTTAAACCTTCCTCAATAAATTAAAACTGTTGTTTGAGTGTGACGACATAACCTTTTTGACTCCTTGTCAAAAGTGTCTAAGATTTGAGTAACAGAAATATCAAATCAAGTAGGGCGGGGCTACAGTTTATGTAATACCAATTCAAACCACAAGACAGTGCAACAATTCAGTGCGACTTTTCTTTAACTAGGCAAGTCGCCGATAACAAAACCTTATTTATAAACAGCTGCCTGGTGGAAATGGAAATAGGGCTAAAAAGAAGTATCGAAAGTCAAAAGCAGCAGCACATATCAGAGAACATCTCAACACCCTCTCTGGTAGCACACTGCCCCCTGGTGGAGAAGATTTCAGTTAAGTTGTGTACTAGGCCATTACAAAAAGTACCTTTAATTATATTTGTTTTCCTTATTATTCCACTGTACCAAATCCTGATGCCTATTCTAATAGAGCTCTTGTCTCTTTTTAGATCTATCTGAACCTTATGAAGTGTTTCAACTACCCAATGCGAGAAAACATGTTGCGACTGGCCATAGTGTGGTTCACGCTGTCATTCGGGTGAGATTTGTCAGTTTTGTCATAGAAAAATCAGACAAGTTTCTGTGGTCAGATAATAGCTCTAGGCAGTCTGTTTTGTTGGCACATTGCATTTCTGTCATCTTGAGCGCTGCTGTGTAGAAGTTGCACAGTCTCAAAATCAATCACTGTCTCCCTGCCCCACGGATCAATACAGTTTCATTGGTGTCTCTGTGGATACAGAGGTGGACCTGCGTGCATGTGTGGAGGAGACAAGACAGGAGGCAGCCAGTTGATTTTTTAAAGCACAAGTATCTTCTGGATTTCTAATGTGTCTGTCTATCTATTTATTGTTTTGTCAGGTCTCACTCTAACACGAACAACCTCTCGTTGATGAACCGATCAGCTGATTTTTTCGATCCAACTATCAACATGTCCCTCTGATTGCAGATATTATGGCCTGTCAGTCTGGTTCCCTGATGTCATCAAACACCTGCAGGCTGATGAGTATGCCTCTAAAGTGAAGATCCATAACAATGAACGCATCGAAGGCATCACCTTCAACTTCACCCTGGAGAACCAGATACACAAAAATATTCTCTTCATTAACGACCAGTAAGACAATTCAGTTTCATAATAATAATAATAATAATAATAATAATAATAATAATGATGATGATGATGGAGGCAAATTTGTTATGCACAACTGATAAAATGTTACATGCTGCAATTAAAGTGATAAAGTGCATAAAATATCACCACTAGACATCAGCAGATTGCAGTCAACTGAATTCTGTTTTGCTCCTTTACTTACTCCTCATAGTTCAAGTGCTAAATCCTAGCTACAGTAGCTGCTGTTGGACAAACATTTTAGTCAGAAAGAGTTCAAAAACAGCTTCTTTGCCACTGCTGCTGTTAGTCAGTGTTAGCTGCTGTTAGGTTTGGGGTCAGTCAAACTTTCCTTGAAATGGATTCAACATTGCTGGACTCAAACACTTAGTTTGATTACATTCTCACACTGTTTGAGAGTTTGCTCGCTGTTTATCTGACAGGAAGTGTCATTTTTAGGACACTCGAGCCCAGCGTTGGCATAACGTTAGCTTATAACCAGATGTTGTTGCATAACTTTCTCTTTGTGAGCTGTCAGCGCCGTTCACATGTATTTTTCATGAATTAATTGTAACATTTATAAGAACCCATCCATTTGTTGGAAGACTTAATTGCACACAAATATAATATTCTTGTTTTCTATTAAATAACTTAAAAAAATGACTGATTGTACCTTTAAAGTTAACATATTTCTGTTACTTCAGCTTTGTCAATATGAAGCTGAAGTCTGTCACCTTCATTGACTCCACCTTTCGTAACTGCTACTTTGATGATGTGACATCAGTGGGCTCCTTCTTCAGGAACTGTACCTTCATTGACACGTTCTTCTTTAACACAGGTGAGGCATGACTACACAGGTAAACTCTTATGTTTTGTCATTTCTAATACACCATCTATAATCTTAACATGGGAAAGTTTTTGGTTTTTTTGCTTCTCTGGGCAGATATCGATGAATCTAAATTAATTGATGGCACAGAGGTGATCAACAGTACATTTACCCACAACAAGACAGGGTGCCAGATGACTTTTGATGATGACTACAGCGCCTACTGGGTTTACTTCATCAACTTTCTGGGGACCCTGGCTGTTCTTCCTGGCAACATTGTGTCTGCTCTCCTTATGGATAAAATTGGGCGTCTCTCTATGTTAGGTAGGAAAGTAAGACCTGGCTCTTTGGTAACACTATGGGTGTGTCAACTTTTACTCTTCTTTTGAATATGTGTGTATGTCCTCAGGTGGCTCCATGATCCTATCAGGCATCAGCTGTTTTTTCCTGTGGTTCGGCACCAGTGAATCCATGATGATTTTCATGTTGTGCCTTTATAATGGCCTGAGCATCTCTGCCTGGAACTCCCTGGATGTTGTCACTACCGAGTCCTTCCCTACTGTCAGGAGGTAACAGGACAAACATGTTTTTTTCTTATAGATAACATTGTTGTATAGACTTGTGTATAAAATAGGGCCTAATTCATCCAATTTATGAGAGTAACATGTTTCTGTTTTCGTTTTTTGATTTTCTCTCCCAGGGGAACAGGCTTCGGGTTCTGTAATGCTCTGTGTAAGCTGGCAGCAGTTCTAGGGAACCTGATTTTTGGTTCTCTTGTTGGCATTACCAAGGCCATTCCTATCCTCATGGCGTCATCAGTGCTTGTTGGGGGGGGCCTGGTTGGACTACGGCTGCCTGACACTCGGGCGAATGTCCTCATGTAACACTAGTGTAGCAGTGCTCACCTGGGCTAAAATCTGGATGTGAGAGTCCTAGAGAAACCCCGGTATGCGTTTTGAGGAAGCAGTGCAGCTGGCTTGGTTTTTTATACATATCTTAACACACATCTCAAAGCTCGCTGATGTATAAATGGTGAAGCAAAACCGCAAACACACCTTTTCACAATGTGTCTGATGCAAACCTTGTGAGGTGATAAGTTCAACATTTTGTGAATCACTCACCTACAGAGTTCTCGTTAGAGTTTGGTTTGTTGAGGTTGCACCTTCTAGCTGCAGTCATTGCTTATGCGGTAAAACTGCACGGTTAAAATCTGAAGGCTTTTAATATTGATACAGTCTTATTAAGCCAATCCAGATGGATAGAAAAGTGCAAAAACAAGCTGTAATGAGCACAGCCAACCTGCTGTGTGACAACGCAGGGACTAGATGATCAGACAGTTCATACTCGTGACACAGCTGTATGACAGCTGGCTTGCCCACAGAACCAACTATCAGTACACAGACCATGTGTGCCGATAGTCATCATACAGAAATAAATATAAAGAAAAACATGCAGCAGGTACCTCATTTGCAAAGGTGAGATACATATATCTAATTATTTTCACTCGCTTGCATTTAACATCAGTCTGCTGTATTTAGATCAGTGTCATATTTGCTCCTATATCAGCAACCTTCACAAAGAAGCCCATTTACATCAGAGACCAAGCCCTTTGCACTACTTACCCAACCAAGAATCAAAAAGGCCATATAGAAACACTTTTCCTGTATCAATAATTGTATGTCACGTTGAATATGAACATGGAAATTTTTATTTTCTGCTGTGTGTTTGTGAAAGCCAAAAATAATGATTTGTTCCTTTTGTCCAAATCTCTATGTGGTATTATTATTATTCTTTTAAAAAAGCTCTAAGAGGAGCTATCCTTCTGATTTAGCTTTGTGTTGGATCCTGCTTGTGGCAGTAACATGTCATGCTGCTTCCTTTCAAAAATACTGAATGGCCTTTTTTAATGTGCCTCTCCTTGACTGGAGCAGATGCCCGTAGTCATGTGCTGTCCAAAGGTTTTAAGGAACAGACAGAAACTGAACAGGCATTAGATTAAAAAAAAAAAGAATAAGTAATTTTATGTACATATGTAAAATATGTCACAGATATTGATTCATTTTTGGTCTTAATGTCATGTTTTTTGTTAGACATACGTATTTTGCTAAAACTTTTGTTTCCTTCTCTCCTGCAAAAATGTCACTGCTATACCAATCGTATCATCAAGATATGACCTGTGGTGTTAGTTACCATACAAGACGGCAAAATAATAATGTAGATAACAACCACCTCGTTATGACGGCGGATTGGTGCAGCCCATAACGTTTTTTTAAATGCATCTTAATTTAATCAAAATTAACCCCATTTTTGTTGGTTATAGTCGTTATATTCACAGTTGTACAAAACTGAAACTTCTAGGGAACATTAATCTTTTACCTCTCATTAGACTTGATCTCACTGGCCACTTGGTTAGATACACCTATTTAGCTTTAGTCAAGACGACCTGATCAAGCACACACTGATTATCAGAAGGAAGATGAAAGACGATCTAAGTGACTTTGAACATGGCATGGTTGTTGGTACCAGAAAGGCTGGTCTTAGTATTTTAAAAAACTGCTGACCTACTGGGATTTTCCCCACACAACCCTCTCTAGGGTTTACAAAGAATGGCCCGGAAAAAAAGAAGAGAAAATACCTTGTTGATGTTGAGTTCAAGGAGAAGGGCACGGCTGCTTTGAGCTGATGATGAAGCAGATGAGACTATAGCAGCAGAAGACTGCATGTGGTGTCACTCTTGTCAACTAACAACAGGAAACTAAGATTACAATTCACATGAGCTCACCAAAATTGGGCAACAGAAAATTGCCTGGTCTAATGAGTCTCGAATTTGGCATAAACAACATGGAAGCATGGATCCATCCTTCATTACATCAGTGTGTCAGGCTGCTGGTGGTGTAATAGTGTGATGAAATTTTCATAGTACCAACTGAGCATCAGTCTACCTGAGTATTGTTGCTGATCATGTCCGTCCCTTTATGACCACAATGTACCCATCTACTGATGGCTGTTTTCAGCAAAGCTCATATCATCTCAAACCAATTTGAGGTGATATGAGTTATTGTACAGCATGTCTTTGACCTCAATGCACATCATGATGAAGATAATAAAATAAAGATATCAGGAAAAAAATTTGATGCCGTCCCTCCCCCCAGATTCAGTTGCTCTCAGTTTTGAATAATAAACGTGTGTATTGTATTTTCTGTGGTGTTAGCTAACCTTAACCTGCATTTCTCTGTATTTGTGGCATCTGTAACTTCAGTGTGGACCTGGTTTGTGTCTGTGCTGCAGGTGGCTCTCTCTCAGCTACTCAAAAAAACAAAAACTGTACTGTACTTGTGCACATCATTGCCAGAATATGTAAAATAAGTTGGAAAGTGAAGTCTGCTGCTATTGTGCAACATATTTTTTGAGCACATATATATAATTTAAATATTTTTAAAACAAAAGTATGACATACAGAATCTAAATTACAAAAAAACAAAACAAAACAAAAAAACTTGCCCAGCAATATTGACCTATGTCAGTAGCAAAGAATATCAGAAGGAGTCATCAGTATGAATGAAAAACCTGCATTGTTGTACCGGAGAAGTAATATTACCTAACATGTTGGTGTATTTAGGGATTTTGATTATATGTACTGTATTTGTGTGTATGCAAAAGACAGCGAGTCTGAGAGGGAGAGTGTGTGTGGGCTTGTGTATGTAACCATGAATGTAAATATTATGTACATATCAAAGCTGATGTTAGTGAAGTTTCTGGGTTAAATGTTTCAGCTCCTTGAGGGGACACGTGTGTCTCCGGCTTCGTCCAAGCGATAAGTCCATATACTGTATCTCTGTTGTACATCCGCTGGTCCTCAGCTTTTACCTGCTACTCTGTGCGTGCGTGGTTGTGTACGCGTTACACTTGCATGTATGTAAGAAAACTTGCGTTCTTTTATGCTCAACTTTTTTTTTGTTATTATAAATTCTTCTGGGAGAAAATGATGACAATATTAAGATTTTTGTTGAGGAAAACGTGAATGTATCACTCGTATGTTTTGTTCATCTATTTTTGAGGGGAGGGGGGATAGCCAGATGTGTGTCAACAATAAAGTTGTGAGTACTAATTGTGAAGGGCCTGAGGGGTGACTGAGCTTGATGTTCAGTGGTCAGCAAGTGTGAGAAAATGTGAAGATGTATTTGCCAAATATTCAATTCCCTGTGATTGATGTTAAAAACTGGAAAAGCAGGGATTGCAGACTGTGCTGCTTTTGAACATATATAATAAAACTTATGTTCTCTAGCAAGTTACTCTTCTGTGTCATGCTTGTGCTAAACCTCAGATTAATATTAATACTGATGCTCCTATAAACATCATTTATGTGCATAAGACAACATAAGCCTTAAATTTATGTGTATGCAGTAAGTTTAACTAAACAGTAATAGTTTACAAAGGCTATAAAGTTCAGTTTTTGGAGAAACTCTTTGAGAGAGTTCAGCATTTACACTCATTTTTGACGCAATAGTGGGCGGGTGTGTTTATGGACAGTGCTAGAGCCAAAGAGTGGACAGGCCACTCCAAACTCATGGGATGTTTGGGGACACCTACACAATCGCTCCAAAGTCCATGAGCGGGTGAAGCACATACTTAGAAAACTGAAGTTACAACCACTAGCTACTATTTCTGCAGGTCTTTTGCTGAACGACTGCTTTACTGTCCCTTTTGCCATGTGGAGACATTAAAGCAGCACAAGCATCCATTAAATTCTAATAATATTACAGTTTTCAGCAGTTATATAACACTACATGACAGTTCAGCCCACAGAAGAAAATAACAAGAGGATATACAAAAACAAAAATAATAAAAGATGATGCCACAGAGAAAAAAAGAATACATAAATAGAAAAATGTAACAGTTGTTGTGCCAACCCAGTAAAAGATATGGTATTAATGTGGCCTCCACATCAAAAATTGTGTGGATGTAATCTTTTTCATTTCATTGTACCACAATGGAAACCGTTTCCAACATTTTGCATACCTGCCAAATGAATACATGCAGATAAACACGTGGTTAGAGTAACTGTGTCCTCGAGGTAATGCTGCCTCCTAGTGGCCAAAATCGAGGACGTGAATCATTGCAATAGCTGCCAATGATTAATGTATAAAGAGTCGGTATAGACTCTTCTGTATACAGTCTTCTTTTGGCTGCTCCCTTTTGGGGGGTACCACAGTGGGTCATCTGCCTCACTCTCACCCTATTTCACGCATCCTCCTCGATCACACCAACCCTCTGTATCTCCTCCTTCACTGCATCCATGAATCTTATCTGCAGTTTTCCTCTTTTCCTCCTGCCTGGCAGCTCTATGTTTAACATCCTCCACATGTCCAAACCTTCTCAGACTTGTCTCCCTAACTCTGTCTCCAAACTGCTCAGCCTGAGCCGTCTCTCTTATCTACTCATTTCTAATCACTCCCAAAGAAGATCTTAACATCAACTCTGCTGCTTCCAGCTCCACCTCTTTACGTCAATGCCACCACCAAACTTTACATCACTGCAGAACTCACAACCATCTTTTAAACGGTCTCTTTCATTTTTGCTGCTATTCATTTGTCAAAAATCACCCAACACTCTTCATGTCTCCCCGCCTCCAGGTATTTAAACTTATCCACGTTCACTTCCTCTACTACCTCTCCTAGCATCTTCACTGTCACACCCACCCTCTCATCCACACACAGATATTCTGTCACAGATATTGTTTTTTTACTCCAGAGCATGCCTACACCTCCAGACCACAATGTTGTCTACAAAGATCATAGTCCACAGAGGCTCCTGCCTGACCTTGCCTGCCAGTATGTCCATCAGCCCCGCAAACAACTCGTCTCTATCTCGCTGTCCTCATACAGTCTAAAAGTTTTAATTGATTTTAGAAAGATTTTTTACGCAATAATATCTTGAAGTGATATTTTTAACCTCCCACGATGGCCTTTTATGATAAGAACACGTTGTACTAGTAAGTTTATATCAGGAAACCCGGCCCGGCCCGTTTTTTCGTTAACTTGTTTTTCCTGGGTCTTTTCACGTGTGTTATGAATAAATCTTATTTTTTTCGGTACCGGTACTAGTTTTATTTTGTTGTATTTATCTGCGACACCTTAAAGGCCGGTCCGTGAAAATATTGTGGGGCACAAATCGGTCCGTGGCGCAAAAAAGGTTGGGGACCGCTGGTTTATATGACTTGTGGCATCAACTTTGCATACAAAAGCGAAACCTGAACTTTTATGCAAACTAGAGGACGTTAAAAAAACCTGTAAAGACACACCCAAGGCAGGGTTGTCTAAGAGAAAAAAAACATTAAAATAACAAATAATGAAAGCACCAGGCAGAATTAAACATTCACAATTTACCATCTTAAAAATTAAAATAATAATAATACTAATAAAAACAGTTAAAGCTCTGCCCAGACTCACCTTATCACCAGCAGGTGGTGCAAGGTGCTAAAGCTCCGTCAGCGTTCCCGTCAATCATTGCAGCTCAGAGCTGAGCGGGGCAAGAGCACCGACCCGGAGCACTTTGTTCAGGAGGCACCACAAGCTGTGCACACCATGGGGTTCGTCTGCTGCAAGGCACAGTTAGCACTTTCATGAAACTTCTGGACACAGCTGTGCCTATTTTTTTCTCTCCATATACATCACTATTATTTTTCTTCCCCCAGTTACTAGTTAGTTTATTCACATCTGTATCTGCCGAGAGGCGCGGTCGCCGGGTAACTTCAACGTTAACTTAAGTTATTTCCAGTTGAGACGAGTTCACGGGTGGAGGAAACGAGGCAGGATGTACCATGAAGAGACCGCAGCGTTACACAGGCCACGCTATGGAAGTAAGTGAGATCGTGTTTGATTGTTTTAGAGCTAAAAAAGCTACTGACTCCTACCCCAACGTGGGTTGGTTGCGAGGATGAGGACGAGCTAACGTTTCGGTGCCTTCGCGGGGATGTTTGATGAGCAACAGGTGGGTGAGCTGCACCACTAGCTGCGGGATACCTTCAGTAGGTGTGGCTGGCCCTGACGGTGCGCTTAAAATGCGGATGAAGAGTGGCTATTAGAGGTTTTAGGTGAAAGAAACCACATCCTGGATGCTTCAATAATACTACTAATAGTTATTTGAGACCTAGTTTTCTCCCCTCGCCTCCCACAGGTGGCCCTAAACGCAGCACAATGATTTTTTAATCTGTTTATTTGACAGTGGACGCCAACATAAGGCGTTTTTTCTCACAGGTTAACCATTAACTTGAGCTTTCTGCTGCCGCTGTCACATGTGCAGCCTAACCCCGTGAGCACGCCAAGAATTTAACCGAGTCCACTGACAATAAACACAGGTAGGTTTACTGTAGATAGCATGTCTGTGGGCAAAGTACAGCTTTGAGAATAGGCAGTATTACCCCCAGTGCTGTTTTTTATCTTCTTCTTTCTGTTGCATCTGACTTGAATCATTATATTTTATTGATCATATCTTGCTACTGTGAATCCATAAGAAGTGTGTCTCCAGATAAGATAGAGTAGTATGCTGCAAACTCTCTAAGATATGGGTCCAAACAAGTCCAAATTTGTTGGCCCCAAATCACAAAGTTGTCCTTCAACTGCGCTTTAATTTGCAAGTGCTGCTGTGGGACCCCGAGGCAAATCTATTCATGTATTTCATACTGACCTGAGTTTATTGATTTGGCTTGGATACAATGGATGAACCAAAAAAACCCACAAAGCCTCCCTTGAATCGTAGCCCGCCAAAAGGTTGCGTAGAATAACCCTGCAGCTAAACAAAAGCATGAGTCATAATCACAGGGACTATAACTCAGGTCCGGTGATCTTGTGACACACAAAAGCAACAGACCCATCCTGATAGTTAAATATAACACAGTGCAAGAGCGTAGACAGGCTCTTCCAGGAAGTGTGTGAGTGTGTCACTAGAGGTAGTGTGTAATGGCTGCGCTGGGGCTTCTGTGCCTGACATACGTTTTCATCTGCATCTGTCTTCTGCACAGCTGGACCACAAATCTGTGGTTGGACCCTTTGGATGCGGTGCTCAAGAGACTAGAAAACATTTCGCCTAAATAGCGGGACAATTACGTCTGTAGAGATGTGGTTGGCCTGTGCTTCTCCTCGCATGCGAGTATTATTTGCCAAGCCTCTGCTGAGACTTGGCGAACGAATGTCTCTGCAGGTGGCTGTTGAATAGACAAGTTTAACAGAGTGTGCTTTAGAGTTTTAAAATATTCAGGCTAGAAAAGGGTTTAATGACCTACATATGAAGTTGGTTTGGCATGATTGGTAGAATATATGCAATGTGGGCATAAAGTTGAACAAAACTACAGTAAAGTCAGGATTCTAAACTGGCTTTTGTAGCTTTTGTTTTAGGATCTCTGTGAATAGAAAAGTTTGCACTTGGCCCAGGTGTGCAGAAGCTCCACTGCCATGAGTTTGATGTCACTGTTTAGCAATGCGAACCTTTCTGAAACGCATCTCAGCACTGATGGATGTAAAAGTCCAGCTAGGGACAAATTAGCAATATATGTAAACTCTCTGTGCAGCACATCAGCTTCACGCTCTGTATTGGAACTGCTGCGTGCTAAACCACATTGTCCCTATCAAAGAAATTAAATTTTAATTTAATTTAATAATGACATCAATGGAACTTGAGAGGATATGCTCTAGTTTGTCTATTAGCCAGTGCTGATATTTTTTTGTCTGTCTTGTTTTTGTTTTTTTTGTTACTTATTTAAGAATCACATAAATCTAGTGTAATTAAGTCTTTTCTTTTAAGTCATCAGACAGTCTTTGTGTAGTTAGCCGGCTCAACATTGATATGTCACAAAAGGAAAGGGGAAAAAATTGGCTACTGACACTGGCGGATGTTGTCATTTTCTGTTATTTCTTATTTCCCATCTTATAGGTAACTTAGTGGTTGCAGATTATGGCAAAACCATCTTTAAAAAAAGAGTCATGTTAAACAGTTCCTAGAGGCTTACATCTGCAGGGCACCCGGCTTTATTTTACACTCGCAGAAACCTGCGAGTAAAAACTGTGCCTGTCCACGTGTACCATCAGCTGCTAGCCTGTATTTAAATGAAAAGGGAAAGATCTGTTGGTAAAAGGAGCCCCTGAGCTTGAGATTTTCCCTTTTACTCAGCCAGAAATAAATAGATTTGATCGGATTAGAGCTGGTTAGGGAGTACGGCGTGGGGTGGGGTCTCGTTAAGCTGCAGGTGAAGGTCAACTCTCAGCAGAAGTCACTTGTCAGATCGGCACCCCGCCAAAGCCAGTTTAAAAACCATAAAATAAAAAGACTATTTCATCTCTCACGGCAGGGTTTACTGAAGCATGAAGTGGAGTTTTTAAACACATCAGTAATTAAAAAAAAGACTTATTTTTATGTATGTTTGGTATCAGCACTTCTGTTCAGGTGCCGTCTTAACCTATACCTTCAATGTTAGTGTAATAAAACACCATCCTCGAGGAGACCGCTTTCTGTGGTACTGATTCTTTACAACCTGGAGGGAGACTGTGAAGACCCTCCCGATGTGTGTCATGGTTGCGAGTGCAACTTTTGCTGTGCCGTGTTTAAAATAACCTTGTGTATGCAAAAATGTTGTCATGCTTGTGACAACTTCCTGTATTGAGTATGAAGCACACATGATGATCTTGGTGTTGGTTAGAGCTAAAAAAAATACCAGTGACACAGCTCCTAAGGAGGCCCGAGCTATAGTTGAGTATTAGCTTGACCTGTTCTTGTGCAGCTTTATGAAACAACCCTTTTCAACTGTAATTAAGAACAATAAGAATGGACAACACACTATGGAGTATGTTGCATAATGAAAAACAATGACAGTGATATAATCATAAGTGTTTTGTTTTTTTTTCCAGCCATTCAGGATGATGAGAGGTTGTCAGCAGAAGAGATGGATGAGAGGAGGCGGCAGAACATCGCCTACGAGTACCTGTGTCACCTAGAAGAAGCCAAACGGTAAGGTGGGCGTTAGATGGAGGGAGAAGCATTGTGCAGACAAAAGCCAGTTGCTTTTCTTTGTATTGTTTGCCTTGTCACAGTTCACACGGCATCTAGGATTTAAGTTGGGTGTGCTCTTGGTCAATCATTAGTTCTGTTTAATGTTTTTATACAAAGGTTTATGTGTTTAATGAGCAGGAAATGGTTGTGAAATAAAGGAATGGAGTGAAAGTGAGGGCAGTCTTATGAGTAAGAGAGCAAGTGTGTGGTTAAGTGTTTGTAGTATTATGAAGCTGCAATGGTGGATAAAGGCTGAATCGGCGTGGATGCAACATGATGACATGGAGGTGTAAACATTCCTAAGAACACGTGTGATTAAATCTGGGGTGGTGCTGACTTAGTGGAAAGAGTGGCTCGTTATCCACTGTACTCTCATCTTAGCTTTTTTTTTTTTTCTCTAAAAGCTGAAATTATTTATTTATTAAAAAAAAGAAAAAAAAAGAAGCTGTTTTCCAAAGCAAGCACAAATCTGATGAAGAGTCTTTGAGGTGCCTTAGCAAACCTGAAAGCGAACCACTTCCTGTCTTCTTCATGTTGGCATCCATCTGAACGGAAGAGGAAGTCTGATCATGTTTCTTCTAACACAGATTTGATAACCACACCCAGTCCCCAAGAGAGTATTTTCTTGGAGTCACTTTTCAGCTTAAATCCATTGCAGTCACTGTGGCCGAGTGTCGACTGCACATTTGCTTTACGTCCACATGCCCTCAGAGATTTGTTTCCCAGCTGAACTTTGACCCTGTAAAGACTGTTTGAATAGCCTATATTATCTGCTTATGACACAAGAGAGTTTAAGGGTTTACAATAAGACTTAACTGAACGCAGCTTCAGGCTTTCATCATAATCTGGTCACACCAATATGATGACACTTCAGTCTTTTTATAGCTGACAGGAAACACTTTAGCAGAAGGTAAACTGAACTGCATAGAGAACTTTTAGTGGGAAAGTTTTTGTATTAATACACCAGGTTAGCCTTTAAAAATACTATATTTAACTTTCTCAGTTTCCCTTTTAGCTTCCCCTTATTTAATCCTGGAGCTTGTGACACCTTTCAGCCATTGAATTGCACCTCCATTCGTTGAAATGTGTCAAGTTAGATTAGGATTAAGACAGACCTTTAACAAAGCTGTAAACCACAGAGGGCAGGGGATTAGGTTCTGGTCTCTGGAGTCAGGTGTAAGCAGTCACTGAAGTCAAGCAACCATGAGTAAGCAACCCAGTACACCTGAAGGCACAGTTTAATTAGCCCCCTTTTTAACAGTGGTAAAAACCAGTAAGGTTGGTGTCAGCCAGCATGCCTAACATGCCCAGGATCCTGAAGCTGCAGCAATTTCCCAATTTGTCATTTTAAACATTTTATTTACATGTCGTCTGTATAAAAGCCTAATGGGGCAATTGGACAGACAAAAAACTGGAATCTTTCTGCAGCAAAGGGACTCAAAGGAAAAAAAACCCAAACAGCTGGTGGGGTCAGTGACATTGTTATCTCTGACAGCATGTGGGAT